CATATACCAAAACCCCCCCCATACCCATTAGTAGTTAGTCCCAATTATACTTCTTCCTTGAAACTGCTAATATGCTTTCTGTCTCTATAGATTTGCTTATGTTGGAGAGTTTATATAAATGGAATTAGTAAAATCTGTGTCACCTTTTTCTTTATAAACTTTAAGAATTAAATGATTTAATTTTAATTTTATTTTTTATTACTTGAAGGTTGTATGCTCACAAGTTCATGTTTTTAAAAAAAATATATGTATGTGATTTAGGGGATACATGTGCAGGGATACATGTACAGGTTTGTTGTGTAGGTATATTGCGTGATGGTGAGATTTGGGCTTCTGTTGAGCAGTCATCAAGTTGTAGGCTTGGTGTACCCAGTGTGTGGTTTTTCAACCTCCTTCTCTCTCTTCTCCCTTTATGAGTCTGTAGTGTCTATTGTGCACATCCTTATAGCTGTGTGTTTTCAGTATTTCGCTTCCACTTAGAAGTGAGAGCATGCAGTATTCAGTTTTCAGTTTTCTGTTTCATCATTCACTTAGAAGGATAGTCTCTGGCTGCGTCCATGTTACTGCAAATGACATGATTTTGTTCTTTTTTATGGATGTGGTATTCCATGGTGTATATGTACCACATTTTCTTTATCCAGTCCACTGTTGATGGACACCTAGATTGATTGAGTTCATGTTTTTGCTATTGTGGTTAGTACTGTGATAAACATACACATGCAGATTTCTTTTTGGTAGACTGATTTATGCTCCTTTGAGTATATACCCAGTAGTGTGATTGCTGGATCAAAAGGTAAATCTGCTTTTAGTTATTTGTGAAATCTCCAAACTACTTTCCACAGGGGGGCTGTACTAACATATATTCTCACCAACAGTATAAGGAGTGTTTTCTTTTCTCCACAGCCTCGACAAGACACAAAATTTGGAAAGTACCAAAGGGTATCTGTTTTCCAAGCCACACAGTTTTCTTTGGATATGACAACCTTTTTTTCTAGAGATATAGCCAACCTTTTCTGTTTTTCTAAGATGTTTGTTTGTGTCAAGAAGTTTTTTTTTTTTTCTTCTGAGGTGAAGTCTCACTCTGTCGGCCCACGCTGGAGTGCAGTGGCACACTTATGGCCACTGCAGCTTCGGCTTGCTGGGCTCAGGCGGTCCTTCTGTCTCTGCCTTCCAAGTAGCTGGAACTACGGGCACCACCACTCCTGGAGAAGATTTTTAAAATTTATTGTAGAGACAGGTCTTGCCATTGTGCATGTTTTAAAAATTTCTTTGGCTATTTATTTGTTTAAGAATCTGAAAGACAACTTATTTGGCTTTTACAAAATTTCTTTGACCTGTTAAAGACGTATTGCATAATCTACACATTTTCTGAACATTTTAACCATTAACCCTTTGCACTTGAGACATCTTGTGGATCACCTACTAGCAACTTGACCACACTTTTCTACAAAATAGTGAAAAACAAATCATATTAAATTCTATAGCGTTGGAACCGGTGATTTTATTGTAATGATATTTGGCTTATAATGGAATTTTGAACATTGAGGAGCTTATTTATGACAAAAAGTCAAAATTTTATATCTTATATATTTCTAATGTGTGAAAACGTGTGAAACAGTCACTGACATGCATTGCAGGATTATTGATACATGTGCAATAGAAATTTGATGTCTTTCATGTGGTGGTTTTCTGTTCGAGCAGACAATGCAGTCTTGTTTTCTTCCTCACACATTAATAATATGTAATTTATTGTCCAGTCTGGGTACTACTGTGAAAGCACTACTCATGGTCTCTTTCTATATAACTTCAGCTGATTTTTAAAAATGTATATCTCAATATATATTCCATTTCTTTTTTTTTTTGAGTTGGAGTCTCACTCTGTCACCCAGACTGGAGTGCAGTGGCCGCTCCCGGCCACTGCAGCCTCGACCTGCTGGGCTCTGGCGATCCTCTGCC